CCTACTCTTATAATTTATTTTTCTAGTATTTATATAAATGTCTAATTTTTTGTCAATATTTTTCTAACATTTGATATTAGGGGTCCAATTTTTTTAATACTTGTTATCATGAGTCTAATTTTTTTCAATATTTTTATTAGGGGCATATTTTAAAATTCAAATTCTTTTATATATTTATTTGATATTACGAGTCTAGTTTTTTCAATACTTTTTATTAAGGTCTATTTTTTTTGTTATTATGAGCATACTCTTAAAATTACTTTTTTTAATAGTTATGACCCATTTTTGTAAATACTTGTTATTATAGAGTTACCCTTAAAATATATTTTTTAACATTTGTTATTAAAAGCAATTACTTAAATAACGATATATAACCAAAACAACGCCCGTTATATAAAAGTGATGATATCGTCTGATATATCCAACCGTTATACCCACATTAACATATGTTATTAAAAATTCACAATTACGATACTTAAATCGGACCTGGGTATCATCCAAAATGAGATGCTGAATTTAAGGGTGTAATCAATTTGATTTTGGATTTTAGTCAAGTTTGTTGCTTGGTTACTGACAACCTTATTCAACGAATGTGTTGACTCAAATAGTGTAAACTAATTGTAGAACGATATGGGAATTGAACGCCGATCGAAGTATTCAAAGCAATGTAGAGTACGGATCTCAATAAATATAACACCGTTCGAATTTAATGCTTTGCCACCTTCTTAGTCAAAACTTTTAATTTCCCCCACCAAACCTCGGATCTTGAACTACATTGCCAGTTTGGCACGTTAAATGTACACATTTCGTATTCAACTCCACACTAATTAAGCTAATATTTTAAAATAATATGTATTAATTATTATTTCTAAATGAAAAATGTTCGTGTAAATAATTTTGGCGAGGTAATTATTAGGGTAAATCTGAAATACAATGAAGAATAAATAAAAAAAGATAGTAAATAAAAATATATATTTTTTATGTAAAAATCATAAAAGTTGGGTTATAAACCCTAACGATAATATTTAGGTTAAACTACGCATATAGTATCGAAACTATCAGTTTTGGTCCGTTTTAGTACCTAAACTTTTAATTTTATTTCAAAATCATATTTATCGTTTAGTTTTTGTTTCATTTCAATATCTCGCCGTTAAAAAGTTAACATGTTTAGTACCTTTAACTTTCACCTTTTTTCTTGGAAAGGTAAGTCCTTACTCACAATAATAATAAAACTATCTTGGAGCGCATTAACATACACTTTATGGGAGGAGAGAAACAAAAGATTGTTCCAAGACCGTTCAAGAAATGCTGATGAGATGATTAATTCCATTAAGGAAATTGTAGGTATACAATTAAGGGGGTAGGAATATAAATAGATTAGATAGTGTTAATATTACTCTTTGTAATCATTGGGGTATAGTTTAATCAAAGTATTGTTTTTGTAAGTAGGGTTTCAAATGTAATCAGGTTGATGATTGTTTTTGTAGCAGAACTCTGCTTCTTTGGGTAATAAATTGAATTATCCAAAAAAAAAAATTCACCTTTCTTTTCAAAACATAACGTTAAATTTTGAACGTGATATTCAAATGAAACAAAAACTAAACTTTAGGTATAATTTTTTAAAAAAATTGAAAGTTTAAGTATTAAAACTGATCAAAACTGATAATTTATGTACTAAATGTGTGATTTATCCTAATATTCATAATGAATAAAACATTTTATTGACGATCGAATCTTAATACGATTAACCTCTCCTAGAGAGATAAGGGACATCGATGTATTTAAATATAATTAATTTTGATTTAGAGATTTATGGAATTATAGATAATACATTTTAGTGGCGTTGTGGCTAAGTTTGAAGGCAAAATAATTGAGTAGGTGAGTTTTGAGTGAGTGGTATGTTTGGTTTAATATTATCATTAAACTAATAATTATTTTAGTGGTTTTTGAGATGACCCTCCACTAACCTATATGTTTCTTTGATAAAGTCTTTGGATTTGGTCCACTTTGAGCCAAACACATATAAATTAATTTATTCTTCCACTTATAGGTTTGTTTTTGTTGTGAGATATTCCATTGTCCCCTTCGCTACTAGCTGCTTTCAGTTGGATTAAATAATATAAATTTATCGGCTAATTATCAAATTCGAATTTTTATTTATGTTTCTTTCTGGATCCCTAAATCAAAAGATATGGTATATGTTTATGAAAATATTCTAAAGATTATCAATAATTTGACGATAAAAACTTAAACATTCTTACGTTTTCTGATGCTTGAACCGGAGACCTTCAGAGATAATAATCGTCCCTTTAATCACTGAAGTAATTTGCCTCGTGAAAAAAATATCATATACTTAAATTATAAAATTATACGTAAAACTCTTTTAAAAAATAAAATACTTAAAAAAAGGTGTAATCTGTTATTATAAAATTTCAAACAATTACATATAAGAACCACAATTTCAAACAATTTTCCGAATACCTAATTTTGTTAGCTCAAGGAAAAGAAAACTTCACCCTTCTGGTTCTGTCTTCAAACGGGTCGGTGGGGTGCAGACAAAGTTTGACTTAAGCTAAAACCCCTTTACGGCTCAACCACTTTCCCATATTGGTTCAACCGGGTTCTTTTATATTCTATTTTAATTTTTTTAGCACTTAAACAAAAAGACAAATTGAACTAATCATTGTATACATACCAACAGAAATGATCATCCAGCTCAGTTGATAGAGTACAAGGTTCTTAATCTTGAGGTCGTGGGATCGAGTCCCACGGAGGGCATTTCATAATTCGGATGTCTCTTACGGAAGTTGCTCTCAACCTAGTGTTGGGGGTAGCCTACTATCTTACCTCCCCTTACCCCATAACATATGGAAAAAAGGGATAGCTATTATTGTATACATATTGACAACACGTTTAAAGGACGGTCCATATATGTATGGTTTAACAGTCGATAAGATTTTCCTTTATTCAATCTTGTATAAAGTTTTATACATCAACCCTCCATATTGATATTAAACGTAGAATTATCATTACTATTTGTGGATTGACAAAGTATAATATGGTCTCATGACAGTAGATTTTATGGACGTGTCAATAGTTTTGAGTTTATGAATGAACAAAGTATATGTGATCTCAAAAGCTTCGTCTCATGGAAGAGTAACTCTGAAGACCTTGATAGGCGGAGAAATATCTATGAAGTTATTACACCTGCCATTATCGTTCAAATAAATATTTTCGGAGATATAACAAAAGGACAACTATAAATTTGCTCTATCGGACAATACAAGTTTGGTAGGAGAGCATCATATACCACCATATCAGAATATCTTAAAAAAAAATTAGTTTTATGGGACGGGACACTATATATATTTTAAACATTATCAAAAGTTTAAATCATAACGTTATTAATAAAATAATTTGAGTTTAAATGATCATCATACAATAAATCTTTATAATATAAATTGAGTTTAAATATCAACCAGTTGATATAGTGGGATAAGGCACTAGGTCCCTTAAGCAAGGTCGGGGTTCAAATCATGGTGTTTGGCAATGGAGCAAATTAGGTTAGGAGGGTCGCTCTCGCCTTTATAATACCCGATCTGGATTAGTCGGTCAATAGATCAGATACTAGTGATTAATTCAAAAAAATCAAATATTAATAATTAATAAAACTATTGATGAGTAATTAAACCCTTCATACTTTCAAATAAATCTCTAATTTAAGTAACATCTATTATTCAAATACATTATACGTTGTTGTAAAATTTAATGAGATTTAAACAGAATAATTCTTAAACACACTTTAATTCAAAAAATTTAAATCATCCATCAAACTGAAATTCCATTAATAATATAATAAAATTAATCAAACTATTTTAATTAATTTATTTATTTGCGCATAGTTTGTTGTAAACGTCACGTCATTGCAAGAACGAACAAAAAGGGCAAAAATAATAAATAAGCCCCATATCAAACAACCCGGAATCCATTGGCGCTGTAGAATTGTTCACTTCGGACGGTGTCGTTTTGGTGGAGTAGCTGCACACGAACGCGGAATCGTAATTTGGCTCTTTGCCACTCTGCCATGATGTGGACATTAATTAATATATTTGAATTTAAATCTTATTATATATGATTAAAAATTACATATAATTTAACCTTAATTTGATAATTCTATGAAAATCAGTTAAAATCAAACTAAAATATTTAAATCGTATTAGGCATCTAACTAATAAAAAAATATCTACTAATATTCGAATCAAATGTTGAATTCTTCTAAAATTTGAACTGATTTTTCTAAAGCTAAGTAATATTTTTTTTTTGGATAAATCAAATTTTATTATCTAAAGAGCAGTATTCTGTTATAAAATACAATCAATCAATCAATACAAGGCTCTTATCGAACCTCACGGTGGGCAATTCATAATTGTTGGAGGTCTTCCACGAAAGTTGCTCTCAATTTAGTGTTGGGAGCAGCCTACTACCCTACCTCCTCCTTACCCCATTATATATGAAAATAAAGTTAACTAATTTTTAAATTCACACAACTTCAATAATAACTTTGAGTAATTCATCTGTAGATCTGTGATGACCTTTAAAGATTTTGGGATTCCTTTCCTCTCACAATGTTTATTTATTTATAATTGAACTCTTCCCGAAAAATACCTCTAATAAATTCAATGATTATTATGTAGATACATCGACGGTCAATGCGTTCGATGACAAACACGTGTCCCTCCTTAACTCACAACAGTCCATTTATAAATGATTTTTTATTACTCGAAAGCTTTATCCAATTAAGAAGTTGATTAGGAATTAGTAACTAATTAATTATCTAATTAATGAAGAGAAGACAGGGATTCAATGAACCAATAACCAGAGAGCTTGGACTTCACAGCTACCATTACAAAGCATTATTTTATCACATTAAGTTTTTTAAAAAGATTTTTCATGAATAAATAGAAGCGCGAAATCTTCGACGAGAAAAAAAAGGACTGTGAATGATTTGAAGAACAGAGTGGAAAGATTTAAATAGGAGAGTTTTGCAGATTAAGGAATCTGCTTACGAGAAGATTTCATCAGAGTTTCTTCTTCTCATTCATAGGTTCATCTCTCCGCTTGTTTCTGTTATTTTTCTTGTTATTTTAATCTTCATCGAGCTTTGTTGCTGAATGCTTATCGTTTCTTGTTGTTGTTGTTTATATGTATATATTTGTGTCGTAAGGTGATTTTAATTGTTTGATTTGTTCTCTGAATATATTACTTGATGATCTTATCTGTATTCAAGGATCTAATCATGATTAGACAAAATCATGCATTGTTATCTTACAGTCAACATTTTCAACTTTAGGTTTTGAAATTTAGGATGCTTCGCAACAGTCTCTTCTGATTTTTCAATATATAATGTATATATGGCGAAATCATACTGTTTTTTAGCTGTATTTTAACTATTCTTAGTATTTATGTTCAGGTAGTGTTAAAGATTTGGTCAAGCTGCTTAAGTAAATCAATGAAATAGCCTTGCTTTATAAGATTTTGCATGGACACGGAAGCTCCAAAGGAGTGTTTCTCTCCTTTGGAATGACTTTAAGTTGAAGGTATGATCCAATTTTCTTATAATGATAATATCTTATGCATCTCTTGATATTCAAATGTAAATCCGGGTTCTTACCCGAAAGTCCCAATGGATTTATCCGGTTGTAGAGATATTAGAGTTTTGGGTTTAGGGGTAGGCTTCCATTTTAAGAACATTGGAAATACTGCATTTCGAGTTTGGAGCTACTCACTCGTATTGCCTAGTCTTTCTTTCGGTTTTTTAGTATTGATTGAAGTTATATTGTGGTCTAAAAGGCAGATCTCTTATTCTGGTGAACTCTCCGATGAGCTTTTCGTATGCTGCATTCATGGATTTTTAATTGATATATTGTTTCCATAAGATGATATCAAGGTCATCATCATGTCTTGGAATTTACCGGATATCACGTGTAGCCGATATCTTATTGCAGCATTTGTTTCATTTTTCTAGGATTAATTGATAGACCAGGTGCTTTCCTTGGAGCTTATCTGCTTTGTGTCTGCTTCATCTTCACTAGTAGCAGTCTAATTATCCGCATAATGGGTGGCTGCATCTCGGTACATAGTGAGAAGGCACAGTCAAGGTTGCACAAAAGACGCTTTGGCAGATTCCGCAAGCGCCATGGGAAAATCGCCTCTTTCATTCCTGATGTAAGTGTGAAAAGGATGAGTGATGCTGGGAGTCATATGACAGAATTTTCTGTGAGTGAATATGTTCATCTCGACTTCGAGACGGATGCTTCAACCGCCTTCAATTGCAACCGCTCAGAGATGTCTAATATGTCGTTTCATCTAACACAACTACAATGGAACCACAGTCAAATCGATGTCAATGGTCTCTTCTATTCATTTCTTGCTTTTACATTTTTGACATCCATGCATCCATATATACATATGCATGGTGAACACCATTTTGCATTTGTGCTCATTCTAGGAGACATTTTTTACATATGCAAAATCTAGGAGATGCTGGTTATTTGTTCACGGGGTTGAAGCAACTGTATTTTTTTCGAACAATCTCTAACTATAGAAATGAAATTATTATGCAGGAAGATGCCAGGAGGAAGAATGGTTCGATTCTGTTAGCATTATTGCGTCCGAGTCGGATGATGATTCCGGAAGCATATACGGAGGTAATGCAGTCGCATCTTATTGCAACCAATTGATTAATTCTTTAGACTATGATTTTCGATGTCAGGTCGGATGGAAAAGCTTATACACTTCTCTTTTGGTTTCCCTTTTGCTGTTGCCTCCAGATGCATTTTCTTCTTTGGGTAGTTCAGTAGGGAATATTTCAAATGCGCAAATGCTTCAGTATGAAAGTTCATGCTTCGTTGAGAACAGGTCTAAACATGAAAGATTTTATGAAAGTTACAGCGGCCATAGAGATGGCTCAGTCAATTCAGGAGACAAAACTCAAGAGTGCCGAATGAAATCAACCGTCATCATGCTTTCCGTGAAGAGAAAATCTTTGGAAGGTAATGAAATCCCAGAATTTTGTAAAGTAAACCTCTCAATCGATATTGTTTGAACATTCTGATAAGAAAAATGATACATTGTTCATAAATGTTTACGAGTTATATATCATTAGTACATACTCAAAATCACAAGGAAAACAAACAAATCACCTTTATTTAATACCGCTGTGCCTGCTTCTGCTAACTAACAGAGTTAATAGCAGGTGCAGCTGAGAAATACTTATACCGTCCAAGAGCTGGACTCGTAATTCCTTGCTCGGGAGAGAAACCGACTGTAGGAAGCTGGTCGGAGGTTTCACCTTCACATTTTAAGCTCCGAGGCAAGAATTTCTTTCGGTAAGCCACTTCACTGTTATTCGCATTCCGCAATATATCATATTCTTCATACATGGAACTGAAGTTTGAACCCCGTGGTGCAGAGATAAACAGAAGTTACCTGCTCCAGATTGTAGTCCTTACATACCAATCGGTGTCGATTTATTCGTCTGCCCTCGGAAAGTGAATCACATTGCTCAGCACCTCGAACTACCACATGTAAAACCACACGAAAAAGTGCCTGCGCTGCTAATTGTCAACATACAGGTTCTTCTTTCGCCTCTTTACCGTTCCGAAAAATGTTCTTTTCATCATTGTGGGAAACATTGCTTCGATCAATTTTTACATCTATGATGCATAAGTCGTTCGGTTTTCTTCTTGCAGGTTCCGACTTACCCGGCAAGTATGTTTCTTGGTGATGCCAATGGGGAAGGCTTGAGCCTTGTCTTATATTTTAAGGTCTCAGATACTTTTGACAAAGATATATCCCCTCACTTCCAGGACAGCATAAAGGTATTTCCTTCGTCAATTTTCTCGTATAACTTTATAATCAATATTCATTGCGATTCTATGCTGTTCTGGTTTTCTTTTCTTTTTGGATAAATTATGTGTTTAGTATCTAAACTATCAGTTTTGATCCATTTGAGTACCTAAACTTTCAATTTTTTCAAAACGTACCAAAAGTTTAGTTTCTGTTTCATTTTAGTACTCGCCGTTAAAAACTTTAGTTTTTGTTTCAGTTTAGAACCCCGATCAAAATTTAACATTAGGTTATGAAAAATTGAAAGTTTAACTGATAATTTAGTTACTAAACGCTTTAAGTTTTTAACGGCGAGGTACTAAAATGAAATGAAAACTAAACATTAGATATGGGTTTGAAAAAATTGAAAGTTTATGTATTAAAACGGATCAAAACTGATAGTTTAATTACTAAGCACGTTAAGTTTTTAATGGCGGGTACTAAAATGAAACGAAAACTAAACGTTAAATATGATTTTGAAAAAATTAAAAATTTCGGTACTAAAATGGATCAAAACTGATAACTTATGTAGTAAATTCGTAGTTTACCCAAAAAAATTAAATGTATCCAAAACAAATCTGTCTCCAACAGTCGCACTTGGATCATTGTAACATAGAATTGAATCTTGATTTTGATACAAGGATATGATTCTCACTTTAAAAACGTATAAAAATTGAATAGTTCTGTTTTTTAAAATAAATTTATGCCCGACAGTCACACCTGAATCTGTGTAACACATAATTGAATCTATTCTTACCACCTTTGTGTTTGTGCTTTGTTACAGAAATTTATTGAAGATGACATTGAAAAGGTCAAAGGGTTTGCAAAAGAGTCCACTGTTCCTTACAGAGAGAGGCTAAAAATTTTGGCCGGTTTAGTTAATCCGGATGAGCTTCAGTTGGGTGCTACTGAAAAGAAGCTTATTCAAGCTTATAACGACAAGCCAGTGCTTTCGCGCCCTCAACATAACTTTTATAAGGTAATCTATAGCTTTTTCCAATTCCAGTTTTAGTTTGATGGGGTTCAGTTACATGCATTAAAACTATTCTAAAGACCACTTTTACATCACTTCCTACTTTTAAATTATTTGATTTAAAATATAAATATCTAATGTTAATGTTAAAATGTATTTTTTTAATTTATTTTAAATAATTTTTTTAGAAATGTTTTTTCTATAACAGTTGACAAACTTTAAACATCAATTTTTGTAATGCATTTCTCAATATAAGTTTAAAAATATTTTTAACCTGAAAAGGTTATAAAAGTTATTTTAAAAAGTAATGCAAAATATAAAAAAGTTATTAAAGTAAATTGCACCCATTTTTTACACCTTCATGTGGTGGTTATCGTCCAGGGATCGAATTACTTTGAGATCGACCTTGACATACACAGATTTAGCTACATATCTAGGAAAGGACTTGAATCATTTCTAGACCGTACGAAGAATGGAATCATTAATCTGGGTTTGATTATTCAGGTAAGTTCTCCCCATTTTTCTCTAATTTTCAATAATCTAAACCTAAGTTTTAGGAAAGGCATAATAACAAAATCACCCCCTCAACGTTTATACAAATAATCACTTCGTCTACTTTTTTTTGAGCATTTTAGCACTCAACGTTTTATTTTGAAACAAAATGACCCCTATATGAATGAAAATAGTTAGTTAACTAACGACGTCGACCAACACTTCCTATTGATGTGGCAGGTTCATGTGTGATGGCACATCATCAAAAAATATTTTTAAATAAATTTTTATAAATATATATATATAATTAATCATAATTATAGTTTACTCTAAAAATAATTTTTTTGCTGAAGTGGTATCACATATAAACCTACCACGACCGTATGAAAATTATTTTGTTGTTATACCTTTGAAAAATTATTTGAAATATAGATGGAATAAAATTTAAATTTTATGATTTTTTCTATTTTAATTATAAACTCTAAACCTTAAATATTGTACATGACATTCAAATAATTAAAATTGTGGGGTTCAAATATTAGATGATAATTGTATAAAATTTTTTCATTAATTCATTAATTAAAGGGGGGAAACGCGAAGAAAATCATAACGCTCTGTGTTTTCCGTGGGGGTTTTTTAATGCATGTTTGCAGGCACAAAAGCCAGAGGATTTACCAGAGCAAGCCTTGTGCTGCTTGAGGTTGAACAAGATTGATTTTGTAAATCACGGCCAAATTCCTACCATTGTAACTGTTACAGATGATTAAATAGCAGATTTAAGTTAAACAAAGGTGATTAATCTGTATCAGCAATATTTGCATTCATTTTTATTGTTATTTCTGCCTTGTGCCTTTTATTTTTATAATCCAACTATCCACAGCAGCCAAAAGCTATTACTAGAAATATTGCGTTCAAAACTTGTTGCAAGATTAATTAGTATATGTCAAAAGTCCATATACTTTAAAAAAAATAGATTTGGTCCCTACATTTAAAAATGTTAAGAAATCATTTCTATGATTCAAAAATATTAATCCAATCATTTATGATTTTTAGGTCATTTATTTAATTGTTAATCTTTTAACTCCAGTCCCTAGATACAAATAATATTTTCTATAAAAAATTGTCAAATGGTTAGGCTGTCATCATATGACACGACATATAATTTTACATAAAAAAAATAAGAAAATTTAATATATTTAAAATACTAAAACTAATAATTCTTTTGTTAAAACTGTTCTTAGATGAAAACGATTTTAATGAAGCTATACTGTACTGATACAAATAATGAATATTAACATGAATTATTAACATCCTTAAATTATTATCTATGATAATATCTTCAAAAATGAAAAATAAAATTGTCAATTATTTAATTTCATACAGTGCTATTATCAAACTGATAAATCAAAAATTTTAAAGAATGCACTAATTAGCACTCTTCATTTAAAACACATGGAAACTCAGTAAAAAATGAACATTACCGTATTTGATGAGGGCAATGAGAAATCGGAATTTATTTGGGGCCAATGTCCTTCAAAGCACAGATCTGCTCTTCACCCATTGCTGACATCACAGTCACAATCAGATCCTTCCCCTCAGCAAATCCAGTCTTTATCTGTATTCACAACACATCTTTTTGAAATCACATGCTATTTGTATTTGTTAACGTATTTATATATAAATAAATGTAAAATCATGGGAAATGGATGTTTACAAAAAAAAAAGAAAAAGAAAGAATCGAATTAGATACATCTGTATCTCAAATTGATTCGAATGTATAATACTCTTGAGTTAATTCTTTTGTAATTTTTAAAGTTACAAAATGATTGTTTGATTATAGAGAGTTATTTTGTTAAGTCCATCGACTATTAAAAATTATAAAATTATCACTCAACTATTCATTATGTTCAAAATTCGCCCTTTTCTATTAAAAAAATTAACAATCACCTAAGTTGAACGTTAACATATTGACTGAGATATGATAGTATTTTGAGATTATGAGATCAAATTTTATCATATCTCAATTAGCAAATTAACGAGTTTAGAACAAAGTTAGGTGATCATTTTATAACTTTTAATAGTCAGAAGGTCATTTATAACTTTTGTGGTTGAAGGATTCGATAAAACAATATCCTATAATCGAGGGACCATTTGTATAATTTACCCAAAAATAAATTCAGGAGTATTGTAGATTCGAATCAATTCGAGATACAGTCATACAGACGTAGCTAATTAGATATCATTGGTCTTCTGAAACTAGCAGGCATTTGACAATCCAAATGAGCTTGGATGAGTTTATCAGTTTCATTATAGCAAAGAAGAAAGAACTCAAAAATCAAAGCCATTTAACATGCAAACTAACCTGTGTAAGCAGAGCATCATCAGTGGGAAGACGAAGATCATCCTTAGTGTTACCACTTTCAGTAAGCAAACTCACCTAAATCATTATCAAACATTATGCTCAGAAAAAAAAAATCACCTAAATACACAAAACTCCAAAAACAAATCAAACAAAAATGGTTTTACAAATCCATCCTCGGAGATATCAATCAGCTGGTAATCAGTACGATTGACATGAGGAATCTGTAAAAAAAATGGAACAAACAACATAAACATCAGCCTCCGAACCCCTAAAACATGACGCGTAAATCGACCGAGAGATTAGACTTACATCGCAGTTGTGAGATGAAGGAACGATATCTTCGACTTTTTTGCCGGAGAAGATATCGATTCCGACGAAATGGCATTTCGCGTGGCCGTGTTTTCCAGTCTTGGAAGTCGAAACTTCCACAACCTACAGGAATTCAACAACAGCAAATCGAATATCAATTTAGCTAAACACTAATTGTCCTTCAATTCAGTAAGTTCTTAATCGATGATTATTCTCACTCGTCGAACGACAACACAGATCGACGAATGATGCAGAAATTCTTTTATAACTACATTTCAAATTCTAGCGATCTAAAATAAAGAGAATTTTACAGAGATCGAAGGCATAAAAAAGGAAAATATGCATAACAAAACGGAAATTTAAAACGAAAGATTCGTGGATCAGAACCGTAACCTTGCAAGGACGGCCTTTGATCACGATGTGGCCGTTCTTACGGACGGTGCCGGCCTGCTGAGGAAAAGTTTTAGAAGCTCCCGCATCCGCTTTCGATTCAAAATGATGATCCTCATCGGACATGACGACCGAGCTTAAACAAATTCAGAAAGTCTTTGGAGAACGGGAGAGATATGGATCAAAGCAAAACCTTGGAAGAGAGAAAGGAAAGTGAGTGAGTGAGTGTGCGTAACTGATACTTTGCTTGAGATGTTTACACGTGATTTATTTTGGATTCTCTATCAATTCAATTTCAATTTCTTTAATTAATTACTTTTTTTTAACAAATCTTATATTAAAAATATATTATTGTTTAATGAAATTTTATTTTATTATTTAAAAAAAATATATTTTATATTCTAATAATTAAATGATATGAATATACTCTTGTTCAAGGTTGGAAACAACCACGGACATATGATTTTAAATTAAAGGCACATAAACTTATAAAATTTAACTTTATATTTATATAAACCTATCAAATAATTTTATTCTTTAAATAAAATATTGTTCTCATTTGAAATATTAAGCTGGAAGAGTTATATTATAAGATATTTTTATGTTAGTAATGATTAATTTTTTTAAATAAATATTATCTTATAAGTTGATGTTTGTATTATTTGAGTCTATGTTTTAAAATATTTTCTTGTAGAAAAAGATTAGATAATCCAAGATAAACAGAATAATGAAATCATCGTAGATAACTCGACGTCATAATAAATTAAGATAATTATGTGTTTAGTACTTAAATTATTAATTTTGGTATGTTTTAATATTTAATTTTTTTAAATCATACTTAAAGTTTAATTTTTATTTATTTTAGTACCCGTTAAAAATTTAATGTTAATGTTTGGGGGGGAATGAAAGTTTAGGTGCTAAAATGAGCTAAAATTGATCGTTTAGACGTGTTAGTTTTTAATGACGGATACTAAAATAAAATAAAAATTAAACTTTATATATAATTTTAAGAAAATTGACATACCAAAATTGATAATTTTTTATTAAATGTGTAGTTTACCTAATAATTTATTAGAAGTGATAAATGGTAGTACAACAGTTTCCCATGTCCAATCAATAGCTTCAACTTGGACAGGAAACTCAAATAATTAGGCAATCTAATCTTCATGTTGCTGAAATTAATTGGATTTCGTTTTGCTCTTCACATTTTTTTTATGTTTCCTTAGAGGGTAAGTTACTGTGTTAGTGTAAATTTATGATTTTGGAGGGAAAAATTCCATTGCCGGGAATTGAACCCGTGACCTGGGTGAAAGCCAATTATGCTAACCACCGGACGCCAATGGAATTTATAGTTTATGTTTGAAATAATATTAAAGTGTTGTTTGGTTGACATGAATCTCTTATAATTATGGGGAATTAGAATTCAATTCCACTATTTTTTCATGTTTGGTTCAAGTTTTCCAAGGGAATTGAAATCCATCATTGCTTCAACTTTCCATTAAATGAGGGAAATTGAATTTCATCCAAAAATGAATGAAATTTAATTCCCTTGTTGGAGTGAATTGAAATTTGACCATACTATCCTCATCAATCTTTTGGTAACTTATTCATATATTGAATAAAAATATTTTTTTATTATTTCGGGTCGGGTTCTGGTTTAGAGTGAAAAATACCTGACCCGAAAATATATATAATTTTACCTTATATATTTAGGAATAATTACAATAATACCCCTCTCTATATATATATTTTTTCAATTAAGCCACTGTTTTATTGAATAAAAATAATTTTTTTTATTATTTCGGGTCGGATTTCTAATTCATATATTCGGGTCGGGTCGGGTGAAACTTTATTTTGTTCGGATCGTGTCGAGTTTTTTTAAGTGTGATATTCGGGTTAGGTTCGATTCGGGTTTAGGGTGAAAAAAATGGTACCCGACCTGAAAAAAATATATAATTTTACCTTATATATTTATGAATAATTACAATAATACCCCTTTGTATATAATTTTTTTTTCAATTTAGTCAATGTTTTTATTGAATAAAAATGATTTTTATAATTTATTGAAATGAATAATCAATTAATAAAATGAAAATTTAATATTTTTTTAATTTTTTATAATATATTACTACATGTAAGTTGTAAAACAAACTAAAATAAAACAAAAAAACAAAAAAAAAACAATTATGTCATTTTACATTACTGAAATCAAATTCATCTGACATGTATGTGAACTAAACAGAATATGGAATTGGATTACAGTTCCATTTCCTGCCAACCAAACAGAATATGGAATTGGATTTCAATTCCTGACAGATTCCAATTCCTTCACAGATTCCAATTCACTCAGAAACATTCCAGCGAATCAAACATCACCTAAGGTTAATCTAGTGAAGAGATGGAAAGGTCAATTTTAAATGCAGATATAAGCTTTGTTTTCATGGACGCAAGAAGTACCGAGGGACAAAATGTCCCTATAACTTAGGAGCAGGCGCGCATTTTTCACATGCGAGGCGTACGGTTTGTATTATATGATATAAATCAAATTAATATTTTGACACACACTAATACTTTAAAATGCAAATATGACTACTCAAACTATAATTTCTAAGAGTAACAATCTTTTATACTACTGACAGTTGGCTTAGGGCTGTTTTTTTAAAACAACACATTTATTTTCTGTCCTTTAAAGCAGTTGTTTCTTCTTCTATGACCATTGGTTTACAATTGCATGCATGCATCAGTCAATATAGAAATATGAGCTGTGTTCTTTTTTATTTATTTGATCTTTTTATGTTTTTCTCTCTTGAGATATTTCAATGACCTTATCTTCTTTTCCTTACTCTCCATCCGCCCCTTCTTCCACAAAACTCTTTCCCTATCTTCCTTTGTTTTGCTTTTGCGGTGACCCCTCCTTCAACCCCTTCTCCCACTAAACCAGGTAACATTGGTTTTAATCGCAAAAGATCCAAAGCGCTGTGCCCGTTGCCCGTTGCCCAATGCCTATAGGCGCGCGCCTCACGGTGCTTCTTATAAAATGCCTCACCCTGACCAAGGCAGGCGTTCTCTTCATCGCTTCTATGCGCCTCGCGCGCACTTTTAAAAACCCAGGATATAAGCTCATCGAGCTATCTCTTGAACCAACATTCGCGATGAGAAAATAGTATGTCTAAATTTCAAATGAACATAGAAAATGAGGGCAAACGAGAAAATGACCTCAAATTGAACTTTCATATATACAAACAAGTGCAAAGTTGCAGTTCTACCTAAAGCTTCAGTCCAAACATCAAAAAATTAGAAAAGATAATTCAGGAATATGTGTTTACTCATCTGGAACGTAGAAGTCGAACCTGACATCAACAGAACCAGACCAATCTCCAGTGTTTTTGTACTCGATATTTGTTATCGTCCCAGCTTCATCTTCCTCTTGGTATTCCACCTTCACCCGCTGAACAGGCACCGTGACAGAGTAAATGGTTCCCAGATCAGAATCGGTAGACACACTAAGCTGAACCTTGTCCTTGGACTTTATCTCGACAAAATCTGACAGAGAGTGCACAATGTTTTTGACAATTTTCTGTTTTGCGTCATCACTAACTGCAGAGTGATCAGAGAACAGGATCATCTTCAACCGCTGCTTCGCTATATTTGCATTAGAGCCCCTTCTAGTTTCCAGAGATGGAAAAACTATTTTCCAAGCCAAGTTAAGTCACTCGAAGAAGCTCATGTTTATGGCATGTACGAGAAAACTCTCAACATCTTCCCAGACAGCATTGCGAGATAACTTGTAATCTCCCATGATCCCTGCTGATTGCGAGATAACTTGTAATCTCCCATGATCCCTGCTGACCTTTTAGTTTGGCCGCCAATGCTTCGACTAGTTATTGTCAACTCATTCCATTTTGGTGTGATTTCGACAAACCTTGATCCTCCATTCATGGAACACACGGAATCTACCTATAATAGAGCACCAAAATTTAAACAAAAAGACCAGAGAATTCTCACTTTTCCCTAGCTGTTGCACACATGTAGAACATCAATTAATTACTACCAAACGGTGCGCTGCATGAAACAACAATCTTGTTGGACAACTAAAAAACACAGCCAATGCCCAATAGCTATGCAAAAATCACAAATGCCACTGCACTACAGAATCAGCTGGAATCAAAGAGCTAAAGAGCTCAGCTATATGGTTGAAAACTTGAGATGATAATCATCTTGTTAAATGTTATCCAACATAAAATCATTGCTCATGACCGGTACCACACCAACGTGTTTCACACAGTGCCATCACACACTAGAGTTGAAGACATCATCACCCAATGTAACCTACAAGCAATTGCAATGCATCTTCTTTTCGTTCCTAATCACTCAAATCAGCACATTGTCAGAGGTAGGCGGTTAAAGGATTATGAGGAACAAGCAAGGGTATGACTTACTCAAAACACCAAACTCATCAAGCTCGGATCTTCGGTCGATGTCTTTTTTCCCTTACTCGTAATTACCAGGTATCATATTCGGAGTAAGATTCCCAGTCCATATCAACAAGTAATATGTTCTAAAATCTACATACAAGCTTAAATTTGACTCTACATGCAATTTGACAAAGATCAGTCCACTGTCATGATTCTTGACTATTTCTCAATCAACATGCGGCTATGACTATGGTGAAGTGTAATTTTCAATAAAAATGTAGAAACTAAAAACAAAATGCGATTGAAATTTAGAATTACGAACCCAAGAAGGTTAATGCCTAATATTGAATTGACTAACAAATCTAAAACAATTATATGAAATATCAGGGTAGCAAAACCCAGAATTTTTTTCCCGGAATTGAAAACACCGATCACCGGTAAGGGTTTGCAAGCCATCATTGTTGCTTCAAACCAGGAAAACCCAATTAGCTTTTGCTCTGATTACTGCAAAAGAACAGTTAAAAGACTAGTAGTTCAACTTCAAACGAATCAGAACAGCATCTCCGACAATAACACTAAAAATTACACTGAATTACGAAACTTACCAATTCCATTAAGTAACCCAGACACGAAATTGAGCAAACAGGTGATAAATTACACAAATATTTCAAATTCAATGAAAAGAAAAAAGTTCAACAAAAAATTAGAGGTAAGATGAGGGGTAATGAAGACAATTACCTTCGAAGACGGGACGGAGCCTCGGAAAAGGAGTTGATGGTAGGAAGCAAGAGTAGCATCCACACGTATACTCCCAAATGTCGCCATTTTTCAGTCAGCTTAGAGTTTTCCCTTTGTCTCTCACGAAAACAATGTAGCTCTTTTGCTCACTAAAGTAAGGAAAATCTATCATTTATTTTTAAAAACATTTTTTATAAAATAAGTTTTTAATTATTCATGTTGTAATATTAACTAATAATTTATTTTAGAAAGGAATCGATTATACGATTACATTATCGATAAGTAATCCTTTGTCGAGATATTGTACCGGGTTTTAGAATGAACGTATCTTTTTATAATTAGGGTAAATTAAACAAATGGTCCCTCAATTATAGAGTATTCTTTTATTAAGTCTCTCAATTATTAAATTTTATAAAATGATTTTTTGACTATAGAATGATGTTTTATCAGGCCCGACGACTATTAAAATTACAAAATGATCCTCCAATTATTCATTATGTTATAAACTCGTCATTTTCTATTAAAAATTTACGTTTGTCTAAGTTAAACTTTAACATGATTATTAGGATATGATAGTCACTTGAGATTCTAATATTATATTTTATCATATTATAGTCAACATTTTTATTTTCAGCTCAGAATATCATTAGTTTGTTAACAGAAAAATGAAGAGTTTGGAACATAATGAATAGTTGAGTGACCATTTTATAACTTTTAATAGTTGAGAGACTTAATAAAATAATACCTTATAATTAGGGGATCATTTGTCTACCTGATCGTTATAATTATCAGTGAAGAGCAAAGTGGGTAAATGCATTTAGTAGCTAAACTATCATTTTAGTATGTCAATTTTTTCAAAACCATATATAAAGTTTAATTTTTGTTTCATTTAGTACCTACCTTTAAAAACTTAACGCGTTTAGTACATAAAATATCAGTTTTTGGTCCGTTTAGTACCTAAATTTTCAAATATTTTTCACAAATTAAAGTTAAATTTTGAACAATGGTACTAAAATGAACAAAAACTAAATTTTATGTACGCTTTTAAAAAAATCAAAGTTTAGGTAATAAAACAGATAGTTTAAGTACTAAACACATAATTTACCCGAGCAAAGTAATACTTAAGAGTAATTTGGTTTGCGAAAAGAAAAAGAAAAAAACATTATCACAAGTAATAATGGTTTTTGAAATCATATATTCACGTTTGGATAGTGAGAAATTCCTCCATGAAATAATAACAGATTCTCAACATAACAAGGTTCATAAAATCAATCCCTTGACCAACTACGTCAAGCTCCATATCATTAGCCCTTTCTGCAAATTGGAAATTTGTCGAGGCTCTACACACTATATAAAAGTTTAAAATCCTCCAACATAAAAGATCTCAACACTTAGCTCTTTGCTTGCAGCATTGAAAAGACTGAAAATGGTTGTTACCTTCTTTAGGAAACTCTCCACAGCTAGCTATTTCTTGGGGGGTTTCCCCTTTCAAATACATGAGTGAAATATAAATTCAGATATAAATATGTAATTAACACGAATATATTTAGTATTCCAAATATTTTTATGTATTCAAAAGGTTCTTAGAATAAGAGTAGGAACAACTAAGGGTGAGCAAAACTCGATTTGATTAAAAAAAACGAACATTCTAAACAAGAGCTAGAGATCAAGACAAACGATCATCAATATGATACCTCATTCGATAAAATGTTCCTCACTTTCTTTTAAACTATGCAAACAGGCAGTTAACCACAACAATTTAAATTTCAACCTAACTATTTGCCCAGCTAATGCCTCTAACGAGCATCCACAGGAATCTATTTTCACTATACCCTGGCAATAAGAAATTATACCAGCTGCTGAAAACAATGAACATTGTGTAGTAATGATCAAATTACAAATGCAGCAACATTAGTGACAATGAATCATCGTGCTCAAGTATTGACAGAACCCAGTTTGTTTTCCTTTGGAAGGATTTAAGAACTCATAATTTAAAGATAAATAAGTAAAGAAAGAATGCTATTTCACCATACGTAAAACAAAAAATTCTCACTGCATACACAACATCGTAAACTATCATTTGGACGGCATAAGATCTCGTAGAAAGCCTATATCATCAAGAAGAGGATACCTTAACAGCTTTAAAAGCCGGATGAAGCAGTCCAAGCTCATCTTTCACATCGAGTGGATTACCGGTCTCGTTTCTAATTCTCTTAACCCTTCTGCTAGCCAAAGACTTGTGAGTGAACCCATAAATCTGAAGAATTTGATTATCCCCAAAATTGAAAGCTCTATCCATCTGCTTCAAGCACCTCTCGACCGAGTAATCCCCGAACTTTCCACAAGGCTTACACCCCACAAAGTGAGTCACCAATGGCCAACGATGATCACCTAAACCAGGGTGATAATTCTCAATCATTTCCTCGTATCTATCGACCAAGATCCCCCAATAACCGTGCAAATAATATGCATTCTCTAAGTAAACCTTATTGCCCCATTTCTCTCGTTGAGTAGCCAACAAATACACCATTGCAGACTGATCATCAGCTTCAAAAACAGGTCGACCCTTAAGTTCCCGGGTCAAAACCTTTCCTGCTTCCTCCCTAACCTTGCCTTTGGGACCCATTGGAGACCAAGCATCAAGAATATCAAGTGCCCATTGCCCATTTCTCAACAAAAAGCTCCCAGTATTTAGTCCAATCCAATTCTTTTGATCATAAACCATCTCATTCCAACCGTGCATAACAAAGTTGAAGTCTTTGTACCTTTCCCAAGGAACCTCAAATGCCATATCAGTAAACATAGCGTCACTATCCATCCACCACAAGAATTCAACTTCAGGATGCGAGAGCAAAAGCTTTCGAATCAACGGTAATTTCGCCCAAAAGCCTGCCATTTCAGCATCCAAAAGCGCCATATTGTAAAATATCTCGATCCCGTGTAATCTACAGTAATCGATCTTGTTCTTGATCGATTTCAATAAATAATGATCACCGACTGGGTTCTCACAAGGTTTGGGAGACGAACCAGTGACTAAGAGAACCCTCGGTTTGTTTGGACCGATGAAATTCGGGTAGCTAGGGTTTTCTTTCAGCCATTTAGATCGCTGTTCGTCCCAATCGGAGATTTTGGGCCCGAGTGAATAGGGCTCGTTAGGATCGTGTTTCAAGTCGTCCGATTCCTCGTCGACTAAAATCTTCTTAATGTCGAACTCATTGTAGTTGTTGGTGCCGGCGTTCGAGTCGGCCCCGGCGCGGTCATTTTCCGACGTCGTTTGGACTTCTTCCAGGACGCGATGGGGCTCGGCGCGTTTCCGGAAGTAGAGGTGGTCGCGGATCTCGGCCAAATCTTTCTCCGGTGTCCCGAATTTCCCGGCTCCGATAGTGCCACGTAGGACGACGACGGTGAGTAGGAGGCAGAGGATCGTGACCTTGCAGTGACGGAAAGCTCTCTGAATCTTTCTAGATCTTTGAGCTCCCAAACAATTGTCCATCATCTACAGGTTCTTTGACCCGATCTGGCCTTGCTTCAGTTCCAAACAGTGTGAAATTGGAGAACAGATAGATGAGAACCCTAAGAATTGGAATCTGACGAAATTTGAGATATTTTTAGATTTTATTTTATTTATGCTTTAGATGTGGGTCGTGTGATTTATTTTCCGACAGCAAATTTGCCTCTCTTTTTTTTGGGAAATTTTAGTACAACGATGAATAGTTTGCTTCCAACTGTTTAGTAAATTCATGTTTGGGTAAAATATATCTTTCCTAATTGAATTTTTTATTTTATTTATTTATTTATTATACTTTTAATATATCTAATTTACTCAATAAATTTTTGAATTACTCATGTTTTGATTATTTTGAATTATTTTATTATTTTATATGATATGACATTATTATTATTTAATATAAAATAATTTAATATATAAAATAAAAATAGAAGATTGTAGTCCGCTGTTTGACAATGATGGAGGCCACTGCCGATCGTCATCGACCGTCGTAGATAGTAGTTGTTCGATCACAAATTTCATGGGATGCTTAGCCTCGACACTATTAGTCTAAATCTGACATCTATTTTGTCAAAAATAGCTATGGAGTCTACGAATTAAAATTTGAAAGTGAAGAAGTCGAAATGTTTCAGTTAAGATCCACAGGTTTTGAGATATTTTCCAGTGAAATAATCACCAGATTCAGATTTAGGGGGTCGACAAAAGTCGACCATGAAATTTAGAATCGAACGACTACTGATTTCGAAGGTCAACGATGATTATCGGTGAGCGGTGATTATGGTAAGTTTTTTTAAATTTAATAATAATAAATATTATTTTATTATTTATTTTAAATTATTTTATATTTAATAATAATGCCATAAAATATAATAATAAAATAATCCAAAAATATCAAAACAAGAGTAATTCGAAAATTCAGTGAGTAAATTAAAAAAACTGAAAGTACAATAAATAAAATATGATAAATGGTAAAATTCAGTGAGAAACTATATAATTTACCCTTTATATTTACATTTTATGAAACATATAATTTGGATTAAAAATTATTTTATATAACGATTTATAATATTTTCTAAAAATTTGTTATAAAATAAAAAAAACTATAATAATATACTTACTCGTAGAATAAATTACTTTTATAAAATTTATACAATAGTGCAAGGAAAATTCTATAACGTTCTACAGGTATCGATGAGTACTATTAATAATGAATATCATTAATTTAATTTATAAAACATTAAAATTATAAAATACTCAACGTGTAATTATAGATTAGTTAAAATTTAAACGTAAATTATTTAAAATAAAATATTAATTACATTATTTTTATAATATTATTTTAAATAATAATTAGATTAAATATTAACTTTTAAACTAAATAACCTTAAATACTTTTTTTCTTGGTTTAACGCAATTGTGGCAGCGACGGCGATAGCAACGACAGTAATAGCGACGGTAGTAACAACGACGATGGCAGCATCAACGACAACGATAATAACAACAACGACGACAGTAATAGCGACAGTGGTGACAACAACGACAACGGCGGCGTTGACAACAACTTCAAAGAAGAAGAAAAAAGAATTTATGATTTTTTAGTTTAGGAGTGTAGACACCTAATTTCGTTCTTTACTTTTATTAATACTACATATTATATTATATTTTGTTTACATTAATATAATATATTTTTTTACATGATTCAGGCCCAAACCCCGTGGCCCGTTTGATGACCCACCAGACCCGTAAATCAGCCCCACGACTTGTAACAGATTGGGGTTTACGAGTCCTAACTTTTTCATCCTTAAGCAACAGCAGCCTCAACCGTTCCAGCCCCCCACCAGTGCCGCTTCTCACGCAACAACCCATTGAAGTCCCCTCCTTTCACGCGGCTACACCAAGTCCTCCGACGAACGAGGAACATCACCAACAAATAAGCAAAGTCGTGTGTTAGTAGGATTCAATAACAACCAATAAATCAGAGGATTTTCAGTTTACATCAAAGACCAAAAATAGTAAATTCTTTGCTATAAATAAAGATATAAATCAGATTGAAGGATTTACTACGGTTTACACAAGAGACACCGAGAGATTCGGAGCAAGTTACACAAAAAAAAATCATTCGGAAAAGCGGGAAGCAAAATACACGCGGAAAATATAGAAAAGGGGAAGATTCTTACCGGTGGTTGAGTCCAAATGTCATCGGTTTATGAGGAGTTTCGAAGGAAAAAGAAAAAGCTTTACTTCTGGGGTGGCTTCATCACTCATCTTTTGGGTCTGTTGAATTTACTTTGCTTCGTCGACTCAAGATTTGGCGAACAGTGGACCTCTTCTCTAACTTCGTATGCTAAGGCAATGTGTATACCATCTCTTCACGTTTCTTTGCTTTGAATATGTTGAAGATGCCTTTAATATTTGTTTTATTATAATAAATGTAGCTGAAAAGAAAGAAAAGTCTACCCTACATGCTACAACCATTGTTTTTTTTCAATTGCCTACCCTATTTGCTCTCTCATCATTGTATGTGTAGACACTAAATTTTTACCTGAGCAGCCCCCTCCATCCAGCAGCCCCTCCACACATCATTTCCAGCAGCTTCCAGCGAGCAGCCCCTCCACGCATCAGTTGCAGCAGCTTCCAGCACTGCCAGGTGATCCAACGCCCTGCTGCCACGCTGAAGCCTCCAAAAGCCAGCTGCCTTGTCCACGTTGCTACCCTATGGTGAGTCACCACCATAGTTCGGTGACTCACCGAGGGCCATTCCTTTAACTGGTTTGAAGAAGACACCGACGAGGCCTATAAATGGCCATTTCCTGCAGAGAAGAAAAAAAAGGAGGAGAGCCAACAACAACCACCAACTACAGCAAAAAAACAGAAGAAAGGAGAACCACCACATAACGGCGAGTAAGAACAAGGAAACCACAACAAACAGAGCAACCAACAACACAAAAACCAGAAGAAAAAAAAAACAGAAGAAAAGGAAAAAATCTTACCACGGAGGAGAGCAAACATCGCCTGAAACCACCAAAACACGAAGGTATTATTGTAGATCTGCTCCGTTTAGGAGCCTTTTAGGGGAAAGTAAGTTTGGATTTTGTATTGGGGGTGTTTAGCGCTTCCTTGTGACATAATGTTGTATAGTTCCGGCCACCATAAGCGGTGGCCGGCGGCGTAGTTGGCGGCGGCCAGCCGGTTTTCCCTCGTCGGAGAAGACAGAGAGAGTTTATATCTCTCTTTTTAGAGAGAAAGGAAAAATAAAAAAAATGAAAGGCTTTAAGCCTTTCACATCTGGTTAATGGGTATTTAAACCCCTCCCCGAACGACGTCGTTTTGGGAGGGGTGTGGGTGTAATTTCCCTAAGGAGTAAACCCCGTCCACAGTACTCCCAGTTTTGTAATTTCGTATTTTGATCATTTAAATCAATTTACGATTATTTTAATTCGGTATCTTAATTTTATTTTCTTTATACTTTAGTCACCAATAGGCTTTTATATATATTAGGAAAAATAACACATTTAGCCACTGTAGTGTTAATAATTTTTATTTTGATCCCGAATTAATTTTTATGACTAAATTACAGTATTGATATTTATATTTTATGATATTATTAATTATGTTCATTAATTTTGATCTTTTATAAATTAATCACTAATTTTTAACGTTGAATATGAATTTTATGTATTTATGAATATGATTTAATTGTTTTAATTTATTTTTATTTTAATACTTTCCCAAATTTGTTGTCAATTAACTATTCATAACAGATTAATTCACTTTTTATGTTTCATTTTCCTTAATTACTTATAACATTGATGTTTGTATCTTTGACTTTATTTTTCCTTACTTTAATTTTCTTTGCATTTATTTAAAATTGGTATTTTAAATTTACTTTCCATTTTAATTATAATAGACATTAATACTATTTGACTTTATTATATAACTATTTATTAAAATATAAATTTCTTTTAGTATTTATTCTATTCATTTACAAAGATTGCTTATATATGGTATTTTATTATTAATATAACGTTAAGTGTGTTTATATTGTAGTTTTAATTTTATTTATTTTATTTCATTATTTATTTGTAATATTATTTTATTATTACTTTTAATGTATTTTAATTATTACTTTAATTATTATTTTATTATTATTTTAGTCTTATAAATATATATATATGTATATATATATATATATATATATATTTGTTTAAATAATAATATTTATTTATTTTTAATATCAAAGAAAATGGGTTGTCTTAAAGCACCTAGAAGTCATTTTCTGATATTCTTAAATAAATAAATATCTTACTTTTATAAATTATATCTATTTTTAAATAAATGTTTTAATATTTATTTATTCATTTTATATTAAGAAAAGAGTTGTCTTAAAGCACCTAGAAACCCTTTTCTGATATTTATAAATAAATAAATATATTATTTATATATATATTAATATATTTTTTATATTAATAAATTTGAAATAACATAATTATAAATTAAATATATTTTTGAATTTTTAAATTTCTAATAATAGAGACAATTTATAATTAAAAAGTACCAATTTTGGGCGTTGTAGGGGTGCTAATCCTTCCCTAAACGTAACCGACCACGAATCCCTTTTTATTATTAAAAAGAACGAATTTTTGGTTATAAACGCAGATCAGTTCATTTTTTAACTGATGTTTTCTTAGAACTCTTTTAAAAAAATAATTTTTAGGTATTCGACCTACCTGACCCAAAAGGCCGATGGCGACTCCCAAATTATTTTCAAAACCATTTATTCACATCACTTTTACCGCCAAGTATAATATTTCGTGCCCGGACGAAAACCGGTTACGACAGCTTGGCGACTCCGCTGGGGATCAGTTAAGCTTTAAAATCAATTGTAAATTGTCTCTATCAGTTAGAAATTAAAAATTAATATATTAATTTTTAATTCTTTTCTTTCAAATTTTTTATTATTTATTATTTTTATATATTATTATTTATTATTTTATTTATTTATTTTATTCAAGAATTAATTATTTTATTTGTTTGTTAGAGGTTTGAACATTTCTCCTCACACACAACACTT